CACCACCCTAAGGTTGCCTCCTTGTGCTTTTTGTATAAATCCTTTCATGTTAATTGTTTCCGATGAGCTCTCCACTGTCGTCCCTTGACTTTATGAATATAAACGCATTACTAGACTCATCGATACACAGTTGAAATGGCTAGATGTAACCGTAAGTTCTATGCTAACAGTTTCTTTTCTCACACATCTCGCTTGTGGAACGCCCTTCTGGCTCAATGCTTTTCCAGGCAACTCTGATCTTTAAAAATTTAGATGCAATGTCAGTTGCTATTTACTGCCTTCCTGATTACTCTTCTTCTCTACTCGCTCTTTGGTGGCATTTCAATTTTCTAATTCTTCCAAACCCAGTAACCCATTGTATCTTAGTGGCTTTAATAACTTGCCTGGGGTGAACTGGATTAAAAAAAATCTATCTATCTATCTATCTATCTATCTATTCATATTAAAGTCTGTCCATATCTATCTCGTCTACCTATCTCTTTATATATATATATATATATATATATATATATATATATATATATATATAAAACAAATGAAAACTACAGACAAAAGTTCATTGTCTCCAGCAAGATATTCATTTCTGTAGTTTAGTGCTAACATCAAGCAGAAATATTTCTTCTCCCGATGATGGCCATTTTGGTCGAAACTAGTCGAGGAATCTAAATGGAATAATAATAATAAAAAAAAACGAAAGAATATTAATCTACAACCCAGTGTGTCTAAAGATTTTAATTTTTTAATTTTTTTATTGTTCAATATATATATATATATATATATATATATATATATATATATATATATATATATTCAAGTATAGGATTGGTGTATACGGAATAAATTCCAATAACCAAAAAATGCTATTCTTAAAAGAGTGCTCAATACAGAGTAGAGCAAATATAATTATTTATTCGAAAATCATAACATAAATATGTTATAAAATCACTAAAAAAAAAATTTTGTTTCAACACTGCTGGTGTCTTATCAAGTGATGTTGGTGAATGTAGAATAAAGCATCCCTCGCTAGGGGAAACACTGTTACATAAGCTGCAATGACCGATCAAAATACAAGTATATGAGAATTCAAAAAATTTGATAACGAACATTGGTTATAATAATTAATGCTTTAATGTTAGGGTTAGACTAAAACAGAAATCATTCTAACTAATATTCAACGTCATCACTTGAAAAGACGCCAGAAGTGTTGAAACAAAATGGCTATTTTTGTAGTGATTTTATAACATTTATGTTATAATTTTCGAATAAATTATATATATACATTAATCAGTTCACCCCCAGGCAAGGCGATAATGCCATTAAGACGCAAGGGGCCATTGGGAATAAAAAAGAATGAAAATAATTTAGAAGGTACCGGAAACCCAATCCTAAACAGGAAGGAAGTGTTAAAACTTTACTTCCGTTCAAAAAAGCGCCGACAAGTGTGAAGTGATCTATAGATTAATCTATCTCCTCCTATAGTTTAGGCGAAGACATTACAAGTATCGTGCTGAAGTAGACTTTAGAAAAAACCGGAAACCCAGTCCTAAACAGGAAATAAGGGATAAACCTATACACCTATACATATCCAAAACAAGTTTAATTAAATATTGATTATTATTTATTAAATAACGTCAACAACGATTGTCTGTTAAATTGTTCATATTCTTTCCAGTTCCCGATAAACTGTCCGAAATTCTTTTGTTTTCTGACATTCGAGTAATTTCGACTGTCAGACGTTGTTAAAAATTAAAATTATTAAGAAAGATTTAATACTATTATAAATAATATTGACCCTTTGTGCTCTGCGTTCCTGAACAATTTTAACCTTTTTGCCTGAGCTTCTGAATCAAAATTCGCAAATAACTGGTATGTAATGTTTGATGTTAGATATAAAAATAGTTACAAGTATTTACCCACTGTTCAACCGGTGGCTGGGCATTAAGTCATTTTTCTCTAACACTGTTTAACCGGTGGCTGGGCATTACGGCATTTTTCTCGACCACCGGTAAAGCGGTGATCAGGGCTTAAAGGATTAATACGAGTTAAATTTTAATAACACTAATAAAACATATAGGACTTATTAGAAACAGAAACTCAAAATTGTAGAATTCAATATAATAGAAATGAAGCAAACAACATCACATAAAATATCGCCATAGAAGATCGTATACGGAAGAATAGAAAAATGGAATGATGTTCATGAAATAACAATTCCTCACAGCTACTACGTTCCACCTTGTCATGAGAACTTCACTCTACACCGGAAAAGACAGACGAACAATTTCGTCGTCTGCCGAAATAGCCTATTCCTCATATGAGGTAAAAGAATTTGGTTGATTATTAATTATATTGCTGTGGATAAATAAACTACATCGACCTCTTTTTGTGGATCATTTCTAATATTTTCATATTATTAGGATCTACTTGGATTATATACCAACGGATATTTACCTTATTATATATATACATATATATATATATATGAAGAAACATACTCTTAAGGTGTGTTATATTTATGGGATAAAGTGCTCTATATCAGAGATAGAGCATGTGTAAATATAAAAGTGAACATTGAAGTCAACACTCAGAGGCGACAGGCGACAGGCTGTTTCATGCTAGATGCTGTTGCCTCTAAGTATTAACTTCAATGTTCACTTACTATATATATATATATATATATATATATATATATATATGAAATAAAAGACAAAAGAAAACTTGGCTAAGATAAGTTTTCCTTTTGTCTTTTTTCATTTTCTCCTTTTACATATATATATATATATATATATATATATATAATATTGAATTGTGAGTGGGAGTGCTTATCAAATAGTGATCGATGTATGATAACAGAGTTATCATATATATATATTTATATATATATACTTTTTCCTAATTGGTACCACAATTCTTAATTTCATGATGGTGATTGAAAACTGATGCGATCAGAGTTTTCAATCTGCACCTGACGGTTGCCTTGCACATTAAACTCAGAGTTATTGCTACCAGTGAAGAAGAAAATTATATATATATATATATATATATATATATATATATATATATATATATAACACACATATATATAAATACATATATATACATATACATGTGTATAAATATATATATATATATATATATATATATATATATTTTTTGTTGTTGGAGGAAAGCAATATTGGCTTAAGGCCAAGGTGACACATAAGCAACCCAATTGTCCACTGCAACTGATTCATCGCCGCCATCTCTTCAATTTTTCCAGGCATTAATATAAATACTGCTGACATTTTATTTTATTGCTTCTCTTTACTTTTTGAGAATGTGTCTGCCTTTGTGTGTGTGTGTGTGTGTGTATTTT